CCACATCGGAAATATGTGGGAACAATTGAGTCAATATAATACCATGGGCACCCTCTCCCAATAAACTAGCTTTTGGGGTGAGTTCTACCCATGGACTTTGAGACTTTGTTGGGTCCATTATTAATAGGTGGATTCTATCAAAGGTTCCCTTTGGAAACAGAGCAAAGTCTCACAAACCATCTCTATGCACACAAGCCTGAAGCTGAAAAGAAACTCAAAAAGTTGGGAGTAGATGGAGCTGGAAATACAATTTATCAGAGGGGCTGTTCAACTGGCGTTGGTTTTGAAGGTATATAAACGAATCAAGTTCATGACCTGCAGAAGTAACCTGTCAGCAGTCAAATGCATGCTCTTTTAAAGTATTTTTTTAATAATATTTTTTATCTTCTTTATGTACTACTATTCATCTACAGGAAAGAGTTGTGTAAACTACGTCTGGTAACTTGAGAGGCAGACCAAAGTGGCACCTCAGAAAATCATATTTCCAGAGGATTAAAGAAAAACAAAAACAAGCAGCCGTAAGCTGGACATTGACATACATTAGAACTTGAAGAAACCTGAGAGGTCCAATTAGAGAGTATTGCAGTCCAAGACCAATCTACATTTAGCGTATGCTGTTGTGGATGGATGCAATGGTTTTTCAGGTATGAGATGTTTCGGAACTTATCATCTTAACTTTCGCTGCATCATCTGGTCTCACCACAAAAAGCCAGTAGTTTATGTCAGTTGTTTTTTATGCAAACTATAAAACCTATGAGTATTAGTCAGCATGAGTTTGCGATTGTCACTTTTTCCTTAACCATCGTGTTAAGTTGGTAGTTATCTGAGGAGAACTGACGCAAGAGGAAGATTCCCGGCGTTACTTACGAGCTTGAACTGAGGGAAATGAACTTTAATCCCGGGAGCAGCAGCAGCAACTACTGATGGTAAATAAGACTGCAGAGGAAATCCATTTGGGATCAAGAACTGGTGTATGTATGGATGTGGCACATAAATAGGTGGAAAATAGGAACCGGAAGGAAAGAAGTAGGGAGGGTGTTGTTGCTTAAAAAGATGAATAGAGTGTTGAGAGGATGCAATGGCACTCTCATCGGTAGACATCGAGTATGGGATAGTTTGAGGCTTGGAATGTGCATTCTGCAATTCGAGAAAAGCCTCCTTGTCGTCCTTTCGAAACTTCGACAGGAGAATCAACTAGCTCAGCCCTTTGTCTTGTCTTGGGCCAAGGTTGACAAATCCTGGCTGGAAAAGAAATTCTTTAGCAAGGTCAAGGTGACATAACTGAGCCACAACAAGCAAATGGGATTTGTTAATACAAAAAGGAAAAACTCTCTTCTATGGTTTTGTCTCTCAAATCAGTATCAAGACAGAAGGTTGCTGAATCAATATCAAGACAGAAGCAGGTCAATAGCTAACTCAAAAAGTATACCATTCACCGACCTAGGAGGAGCCTCCTCAGGGACATGAATGTCATCATCTCCGTCCATGTTTGGACGGTCACCCTCAATAGAACCGTTGTTAGAAGAAGAGGTCTCCTCCGTGGAATTGCAATCAAAGCTCCCAGAAGTCAGGCCATTTCCCAATGCCTTGGGGACTTGTGGCCGTTCACCAAATATCCGACTCAAGAGGTAACTGGGTTTTAGAGACTGTTGGAACAAAAAGTGGAAAAAACGAAACATAAGCTACATGCCAAGCCCAATCATAGCCCGCAACTGAACTAAAAAACACAAGTAAACCGGTCCTAATAAAATTTGATTAAACCAATGATCAGTGACAGTGCGTCGCAGAAAGCAGCTATACAACTGACTGACCAATGCAATTCGACGTAACAGACAATGAAGGATCCTGCTTGTTCAAAGAAGATGATTTCACCTTGGCTGGCTGGTTGTCCACAACAGGCTTCAAATATACGCATGGTGTCTAGTAATTTAAAAAATAACAAGAGGGTTCTTTGTTAAAGCATTGGGAAATTGATAAAATATTTTGAAAAAAATGGGAATGGGAATGCTAAATGTTTAATATTTAAAGAAAATGACACAAGATAGAGAAAAATAAAAACAGTGGGCCTTTTTATTAGGGGTGGGCGTTTCGGGAAACGGTTCGGGTTCGAGACGGGAATAGATCGGTTCGATTCTTCCGGTTTTACAAAAATAGGTACCAATCGGTTTTTATATTGTATTCGGTTCGGTTCGGTTCTGGGTTTTATTAAAAAAAAGATATATTTTCTTTAAAAATATTCGGTTTTTTAGGATTTTTAAAGTTCGGTTCAGTTTCGGAAAAATTCGATTCTCTACAAATGATACCGTTTAAGAATTAAAAACGGTTTCAGATAAAAAAAAAATATCGTTTTTTCGATTCGGTTCGGTCTGCTTCCGAAGAACCGACGTCCACCCTGTTTTTTATGGCCGCCGAGTGAGTAAAGAACAGTGGGTTTGGGGCTTATTGATGTACCAGTTTTAGATTCCCACGCGCATGTTACACGCGTTATCTACACGCGCTTAAAATCCCTGGGCTATTAAGTATTAACCCCACATATTTGTTCAATTTTAAATTTTTGAGAATTTTACCGCGTGGGACTTCTCATACCTAAATCTTACTGACTGACTGTTATTTTTTGTTTTTTTTTAACCTCCGAGGCTGCCACCGCCATTTTCGGGTTTGTTCAAGATACCCAAATGGCCCGTCTTATTTATTCTCTCATTTCGGCCCGGCCCATTCGGTTTATTATTCCTCTCGCTTTTTTTTTTTAACCGAACAGTGGTGACAAGAAAAAAGTAACATATCATACGTAGTAAATATTTTTTGGTATTTAACAAACAAGATTAGGAGCGTAAAAAATAGTAGAAATGAAATTTAAATCAGACCTCTTCGTATATTTATAAATGTGTACATATTGATTTTCGAATGTTTCAGATGTCGTTAAAGTATCACAGGAAGAAAAAGGAACGCATATATATTATGTAAATTTTAATCGGATCTGTTTGATTTTAAGCAGAAAATAATTTAAAAATACAATATTCTAAAATGAATATGTAAATATGCGAATGATATGATGAGCATAATGTCGAATAATTAAAAAAAAAAAAACGGTTATCAATACAAAAATTAGAATCCAATTGAAATTTGGTTGAGTGATTTTGGATAAGAAGGGCAAAAGATATCTTTATTTTAAGTTATATGTTCGAATGATAGTTGGAAAGGAGAGGAAGTATATAATTTAATTATGACATATAGATTGTTTTGGAATATATAGCTGAGTCAAACTTTTAAATTAAAAAACAAAAGGTTATGAAATGGATAAAATGTTAGGAACAATGGAAACGAAGGGCCAGTTTTTGTTAATACGCAAAGAAAATGAGACACACTAAAACGGGCCTATTGGGCCCTCGAGAGGAAAAAAATGGATCAATTAGGCCCATCCTAAATCTGTCGGTTGATCGATGAGTGGGGCCGTTATGGCGGGTAATCAATGTGACAGTTTTAGATTCCCACGCGCATAATGCGCGAGTTATGGACACGCGCTCCAAGTCCCTGGATTTTGTTTAAAATGGCCAACTGGCACTGGCAGGCCGGCCCATTTGTTTATTTTTCCTCACGTTTTTTTTTTACAGAACGATATTAAAAAAAAAAAAATAGGAACATATCAACTAGTGATGAATATTTTTTTGGTCTTCAGCAGAGCCGAATTAGGAGTCGTAAAAAAGTAGAAACATAATTGAAATCGAATCTTTTCGTAGATTCATACAATTTAGAATCCTTTTGAGGTTATGAAATCGTCGGATTTATTTCACTCTCTAGTAAATCTTAAAAGTAACCAAATAAAACATGCAGGTTACACACGTAGACATGCATCTAGATGGGGAAGAATATAAAAAAAAGGCAACGAAATCGGATTTACTAATTTTGGGAATAATATTATTAACACGCAGGATTTACCTCCAACCAATTCATGTGCGTTTTTTTTCCACCTTCATCCCTTTTCAGTTGGATTCCTCTCTTTGTAATTTCGGCTTCGGAAGAGAAAAGAAAGCAACGACGGAAGCAGAATCTCGGTAACTCTTCATTTCATCTTATTTCTTTCTATATTTCTTTTTTTTTTGCTTTGGATGATCATGTCAGAATCCGACAATTACAATCAGTGTTCATAGATTCAAGTGGGCTTGACGTATACGGATATATACATATATATATATAAAAGAGAAGAATATCTGCCATTATAAAAAGAAGAAGAAAAATGGAAGGAGGGCAGGAAGAGGGGATGATGGAGATAAAAAGGAAACTGAAGGGGATGAAGATAATAAAGAGGGAGGGGAAGAGCGACGAGGAAGACGCGAAAAGGCAAGAGGCATACAACATGTCTCCGCGAGCAGGAGGAGGTCCCTCCAACGTGATGATGATGGGCAAGTCATCGAGCGGGAGGTTCAATTGCCTATGCGCACCCACCACCCACCCCGGCTCTTTCAGGTGCCGCTACCACCGACGACGCGGCAACTCCACCCGCTTGCCGCGTGGCGTCTCTGTCCCCACCAACTTGTCCATGATCATGGCTTCCTCCAAATCCGGTGGCATAGTAGAATCCTCCAATGAATGAGTTGTTCCTTCTTTTTCCACAACTTGTGTACATAAAGGCACGAATAATTGAAACATGAAAGCATCTTCCTATGTTCAACGAGGCTTAAGATCTCCCTAAGATTATTATAGACATTTTTCGAATTCGAGTCTCACAAGGAGCATTAGGAAATGTGTTCAAACAGGAAACGATCTCGAAACGTTGAGTTTGAGCACAGGAACCGAATCCTGCAACGTGGAGAATCTCCTCTTTGTCTCTTACCAATACTCCGAAACCATGGGAGTTGTGACAATGCCGCCAAGATCAACCGTGCCTGACCACGAGAAAGTATTTCGCCACATCCACATTTGGGAGTAATTCAAATCCAAGTTATGGAAACATTTCGTGCCCCACAATGTGGAGCATGAAGCACGAAATAAACTGAAAAGGGCTCACCCTTTCCACTTCAAGGATGAACTTAGAGTCTTAGAGAGACTAGACGAAGGTGGAACTCAATCTACAAGGGCGTGCAAAATGACAAAAAGTTGTCAGGAATCCAATAATAAACAAAAACGACAGAGGCTCCAGAAACCAAAACCAAAGTTATCAAGAATGGTCATTGATGAGATTGCAATAACCTCTTCAGAATGAAACCAATGACGCCCCAGTTGAAACCACGGTACTGAAGCCACCGTACCAGTCTCCCTTTACGCGTCTCCGTAGGAGCGTCACGGCCTCGAAGCCACTGCTTGGAGGCCTGAACGTACAACTGCTCCATCGCTTTTTTCGACAAACCGTGCTTCAATTCTTCATTTCCTCCTCCTCCTCCTCTGTCATCTTCTCCGTCCTCGAAAACCTGCTTTATGGCCGCGTCTGTATCTGCATTGCTTACTCCTTTCTTGTACAATGCCTATTACCACAAAATCACTCTGATTTCAGCCCTTCACCAAACACACAAGATCAGCCATTTTACACTTTCAGGAGTTTGCCTTTTGATTTCTTCTGTTGGCCATAATCAATTGATGATGGTTTAGTTCATGTTTTATTTTCCCAAAAACATTGTAAATGTTGATGCAAAATTCTCATAGGTTTGTTTTGTTTGGCTACAAAATCATGTATATATTATATTTCCCCTGAATTTCGATCATGTATTACAGTTACACCTGACATTCTCCTCGGTCCTCACGGTAGACTCAACCCAGGTATCCATCGTGAATACCGAGGACTGCTGCTGTAGAAGAATTATGAAAGCATAATTTTTTGACGAAACTAATGTAGGCTTATTTTTGTAGACTATAGCTTCTTAAAAATTAGAGACTGAATAATTCCTCTGTCTAATTCTATATTGGTTTCAAACTAAAACAGTAACAGCAAGATTTCCATCTCGTTGAAATTGGGATATATATTTCGTATAGGCTATAATCATTTTCCCACTCTCAATACCAAAGGAAAACAAAAGACGAGATAGGTGACAGAAAAACGTACTTGCTTGATCCGCCTTGGTCCCCAGGCTGATGAAGACCATCTAGATCGAGAAAATGACTCTGCGTACAATCCATCATTGATCAAACCTCTGAAAACAGCAAACAAGATAGTTGGAGTGTTTTTATGGAGCATTCTTTTCAGAGTTCGAGACACGGGATTACTTGATATTTCTCACAAATGATCCGACAAACATACACATTACACAACATGCACATATCTTAATTTACCCATGAGTGTGACATGATGACTGATACTTTAATAGGTAACTGAGAGAAATGTGGACCCAGAGAAAAAAGGGGAGATGCATATGGGTTCTAGTCACAAACACGACTTCGAGAGGAATCTTCAAATGAGGCAAATACCTGTAGTGAAAATCTTTAATCACCCCATCAACGATCTCAGGAGGAAACCTCTTTCCAATAAGCTTCTTCTTCAGCTCAGCTGCAGAATATGCTCTTGATAATGAAGAATAACGGGAAAGATATAATATGTTAGTAATCATTTAGACTGGACTAATGCACAACGAAAAAGTACAATCTTACTCCCTTATGCAAAGCTACATAAACTCAAAGCGTTGCTTGCAAACCTTAAACCCAGTAACTGGATAGCCATATTCTCTGCATCTAGTGCAGTTTTACGGTCTTGTTTGCTACTTGTACTCTGCCTAGTGTTATCTTCTTCGGTGTGTAATCCGATTTCGTTACACACCTCCTCATAATGTCTTGTCAACTCATTGCCTCTGAACCTGATACCTTTGTTGCCTTCTTCCGATTCTAGGAAACAATAAAGGCAGTGAATTAATTCCCAAAAAGCTTACGACCTCATTCTCAAGACAATGCACGTATATTTGGATTTTTTGTTTCTATGTTTTCAGCTACAAATTGTTAGTTACTATCTTACTTGTAGATAAAGCAACACAGCCATACAAATTGGTAGTTGCTATCTTGTAGATAAAGCAACACACCCATCCTGAAAATATACAAACAAACAGTAATCTGCTCGACTGCCTTAACCTTGGCATGAATAATTTAAACAATACCTTGTCTAGAGTCATTACTAGAGATCTTCCTGTGCTTTCTGGCTTGTTTTTGGTCTTTGAGATCGAACAAAATGCTTTCTTTGACTTCAGTTCCAGATACACTTAGATCTAATTGATCAGCATATTTCTCCTTCTCGTAACCATTCACCGGCTCAGACGTCACATTTTCATTGATCTTCCGAGACTTCTCAGGAACATACCTAACCAGGCCCAAAGAACTGTAGTCCTGCTGATCCAAGCAGAAGGTTCTCGTAACCGGGGTTCTTTTCACCCTAGAAATACCCAAAACTCCAATGACCACACAAACTAGAAAAGTGAAAGGCTGAAAGATTTACTAGCCTTCCTTGAAGAGAAAGCCATAACTTCCCTGATTGCACGTAACAGTTAAAGCCAAACATGAGATTCTCTACTTCATTAACATAAATATCAAGTTACCCACAGCAAAACAGACCAGTAGATATCGGGGAAAAAGGTGTCGAATCAAAGATACAGGTCACAGCCAAGTTATAAGAGCATGGGGACTAGTACAAGGGATCAACACCATAAGCAAAGAACCGCAGAAAAGCATTTAGATCTTTCTCCACAATCAAACCCTTGTTCACCCAAACTTATTGGAGCTTTTGACTTATACAACTAGATTTTCTTCGCCATACACAAAAAGGGGAAAACTAAGTCAAATCTCTATTTTCCAACTAAAACCACGAACGAAGGAGGAAGAACTCCATAAGTATGGAATTCCCCCGTTACCGAAATTTTCTAGGCGACCAAACAGATGCACGGGGAGAAGGAAAAAAAAGTGAAATTGAACGAAAATCACTAACCAAGGAATAGTGAACACACGATGTTGAAGGCACGACGAGAACCCTAATCTCAGCATCGTAACCTTTCGCACTCCAATTTGGAATTTCAAATATCAGAGAGAGTGTAGAAGTTGGAAACCCTCGCTCAACTCGCGTTGTCTGGAATATTCAGTTCAGCAGCTCCTAGAAAATGGCGCGTGTAGCTCAAACAACACCGTCTGATTATAAAAGAAACCGGCAAAATTGCCACGTCAGAGATTTATGGTGGGCCTCGTTGGCCCGAATTAATATGGGCTTTTTAGGAATTAGGATCAATGAGTTTACGTCTGATACCCCAACATATATACGGTTATGTTTGGCAAGGTTAAAACCCTTCGTCGTAAACCTCTCCGATTCAGAAAGCGCTTGTTCTCGTAGGCTCCTCTTTCGCTCTGTCCTCCCGCCATCGGACATCCCCAAATTACAGATTCAGGTATTTGATTTTTGGAATTTTCTTTTCGGTTCTTTTGAATTTTGATTTAGGGTTCGTCGTCAAAGCTATAAGAGTTGCATAGCCGATTTGAACACCTGATTTGGACATTGGTGTTGCTTGCTTTGGAGAGTTTGTCGATGGGTTTATTCCAAATATATGTTGAATTACTGGAACTTGTCTTATGCCCCTCTAAATTCGATGAGAATATCGAAGCCATTCATGGTCTCATAGATTGTGTTGGTGAGGGGACCATGCTTTCTTTGTTATTCCTTGGTAATATTGGGCTGTGAAATCTCCGGAAGCACTTTTATATGAGGTGAATAATTTTTATGTAGCCTGAGATGAGATTCTTATATACTGCAAACCTTGAATAATGTTATCCTGTCCTGTCTCACTTAATTGATCAATGTTATGATTCTGTATTAAATCGAAACCTATGATCCGAGATAGAGCACGTGGGAGGAGATTCCTGGAATATATTGAACCATGAATTCTCGGGAAAAAAAGGCTTTCATCAAGGGTTTAAATTTAGAGTCTTTTGTAGCCTTGCCCTAGCTATATTTGACCGATGCTGTGCTTTTTGTATAGGCTGCAACTTCATCGTTAAAGATAAATTCCATGGGAGACTCTACTCAAATGGAATTTCAGCCTCTATCCGAACCTGGGCCATTGCCGCCTAAGCCGACCTTTAAGCCTTTGAAGGCTCACGAGATGTCTGAAGGTCGGATTCAGTTCAGAAAGATACCTGTCCCACCCCACCGGTACTCTCCCATCAAGAAAGCATGGTTAGATATCTTCACACCTGTTCATGAACAGATGAAGATTGACATACGGATGAATCTCAAATCCTGCAAAGTCGAGCTCAAAACCCGTGTAGACACACCCGACATAAGTAATCTGCAAAAATGTGCAGATTTCCTTCACGCCTTCATGATGGGTTTCGATGTTGTGGACGCTGTTGCACTTTTACGATTAGACGAGCTCTATGTGGAGTCTTTTGAGATCAAGGATGTCAAGACATTGAGAGGCGAGCATTTGTCTCGGGCCATTGGTAGATTGTCGGGAAAAGGCGGGAAGACGAAGTTTGCCGTCGAGAATGCCACAAAGACTAGGATTGTGGTAGCAGACACCAAGATTCACATCTTGGGAGCGTTCTCCAACATTAAGGTTGCAAGAGATTCACTTTGTAGTCTTATTTTGGGGTCTCCCGCCGGGAAGGTGTACTCCAAGCTTCGTGCTGTGACTGCAAGATTAGCTGAAAGGTTTTGAACCAGAGAAAATTTAAAAGTTCTCTCTTTTCAGCTGAAATTACTGATAGGTTTATAGATTGGATCTTTGTACGAGATATTGCAGAATCCTGATTTTTGCTTATATGGAATCTCCCCAAAAGAGTTCTTGAAAAACCAGCTATCATTTGATTTAATCTTGCATGATAACAAAGATATTAGTACGGAGAACCAAAATGGGTCACCATTTAATTTATACTTGAGTTGGTCGTGTATATAACATTATTTCACCTGCTTTCACATCAAAACCCAAAAGCAATCATACATGGGGGTGGTAGTAGCCACAATCAAAGCAAAGGTTAGTTTTGCTTGTCCGATGACAGATATGAGAAATGGAAAGATGAATGTGATTACACTTGCTAGAGGCCGAAACCTTTCCATTGTGAAGAACAATAAAATACAAATATTTGGTCTTTGATGTGAATCTTTTTTCTTTTTCCCTTCAGCCGCCGAAAAGAAACCCGGCGGCTTGATCTTCGTTCCCATTAAACAATCTCAGAGCTTGTATCACTGCTTCACGACCAAACCCCAACTCCATCAGCTTTGAAACCTTGCCTTCAAAATCAGCTCCCTGTCGGAATGCAATGGTGGAGTTATGTCATGGTGAGATTATAGAGATCAAATCAAACCAGGACAGCTAACAAGAGGTGTAACTGAAGCACACAGCTTTTGGAGATAGGCTTACCTGTGAAGTACTGTGCTCTGTGGCTCCTGAGAACAGCAATCAATCATAGTTAGAAGCAAAGAATTCAGAACTCGATTGAAGGTTTTCTTGATTTAAGGGCTTGAAATGAGGAGATTCAACAAAGTGGTTCAGATACTGGTCGAGAGAGTTAAAGTCTTTCAAATTGAACTGAAACCCTACCAAAGGAATGTTACCAGATTCTAAAATCTGACCTGAAGGTTGACTTGCTGGGGTCGCATCGGTATTTTTCTTCTGTGTTAATCCTGACGATACCTAAAAGAATTTGATGGTAAAATTATTGCAGATGGTAGATATCCACTAAGTTGCTTCACAATCACATTGTTAAACTTGGACTTGCTCGCTAGTGCAATTTCTTGCTTCAACCAAGATCTCATCAGCTGATGCTGAACATCCATTAAAGAGAGAGTAGCTTACAGTTGCTCCTGAGCTAGACGCTTCATTCAAAAGACGTTCTTCATCCAGAAATCGAGAAGGGATGTCTTTCTCTGAAAAAAAAAACCCCACCCACATAATGTTATCATGTTGGTTTTCAATTACACAGATAGATATACAAACAACGTTAAGAACATCCAAGTCAAAATTTGCAGAACGAGAGGGTAAAATAACCTTGCAAAAAGGGAACTGAAACTTCCCCTCCTCCAACTTTCAAGACATTATCCTTCAAATCAATGGTGCACTACAAAAGGAAAAAGACAAGTATTTTGGTAGAAACGGCTCAAATTACTGCAGTCAAATTTATTGAGCGACAGATGTACAGCACAACGCGTTGCGATTAGCGATGTTACCTGATGCTTACGAAGCATATCCAGGCCAAAGAGGAATTCCATGTTTGGCGAGTCCAGCACCACAAATGAGCATGGGTAAAAATTATTCCCAATCTACATGGAAGGATACTTTACTTCCTCTTGTGAACCATAATGAAACAGTAATAAATGGGCAAACAAAAAATAGAAAGTAACTAGTTCCGATGAGAGATAGTAAGCAAATGCAGGTATTAACCTTTATCGGAGCAACATGAATGCGGCCCAGTATCTCTGATTGACCAACACCATGAGCAATACCTTTATAACGTTGATCCAAGAGTCTCAGCAATCTGAAAGCATTCCATGAATAGGTTGCAAAAGAAGTTCCACAACAACTCAATTCTTGACAACATAACCGGAAAAAAAAATTACTAATCAAAAGCCACAGTTACCCGCATTTCTCAGCACAACTCTTGGATATAATTGTTGATTGTGCACCACTATCAACAAAAGCCTGAAGCAGAAATGGTGTTGTAAACGTGTTTTTAAATATTCTTGGTCAAAGAATCAGTAACACAACAGACTTTATTCAAGAGCGAAAAGATAAAAACGATTATGTTTTTACTTCGATAAGAGAGGCAATAAGTTAATGAAGGGAGATCAAACTAGTAAACTGAATACAGGTTTTATTTTGGTTTCTATATTTGTTACCTTTAAAGGTATGCCATTAACCTCCATATCCACATACAGCATTACCTGGAGAGATGGAAAAGAAACTATCATTTTCATGCGAAAGAAGTTTACAGGATTGCAGAATCATGTACTTGATACATACCACCCGAGCGAAACCTTCTGGATTATACTCAAGCGCAGCTGCCCAGTTCTCATCAATTCCTTTCTGAGTGTGATATCAAGACAACAAGGATAAGTCAGAAATGACACAACAAGATCATTGGACACTGGACAGATAGGAATAGGACAATAAGCTAGGATAAAAGAGGAATTATATCAGAAAATTAATTAAAAAAAGCATTAAGAGCCCAGTATAAGCAACGTTACAAAGGAATTGTAGTATTCCAGAACAAGTGCTGCATGTCGAGGTAATAACAAAAATGCCAAAAAAAAAATCAATTACCTGCCGTATTGCAGCTTCGATTTTCCGTTGTGCTTCTACATTAAAAGGATCCGCATAAAGAAGGGCCTGCAGTGCCACAGAAAATGCAAGTGTAAGTGCTAAGCTTCCATTGTAATAGCGGAACTATATCTCAACATCCAAAGCTCAGCAAACTGAAAGGCTAGAGACTCCCTCCAAGCCAAATTTAACTGAAGTTTTGAAAATCTTACAAGCTCCTCCTCCTTCTGACGTTGTAATTCAGATCTCTGGCGATGCCTTGAACGCAAAATATCTTGCAACTTGTGTAAATTGTTGCCAGAAATAGCTTGTGAAAGGTCAGGATCGGTCTGCAGTTTACATTATCAGAGGAAAAAAACAAAATAAAAAAACATAGACCAAAATACTAAACAATTTATTGGTTTCACCATGGCAGCACAGTTATCTCCAGACATGCTCTAAGGCTCTAAGGAACAATACGAAAAACAAAAGGCACAAGGAACAAAAGATATGATAAACCAACCGACAGTGTTCTTTATAATATTAATTTGCAGTCAAGCTTCTGTACAAAAAACGAACTTTTTCACTGAAAAAAACCTGAACCAGGAAAACATATCACAGTTAAAGCCAAAATCTTGGAACAGTCAAGGTACCTGAAGTAGCTGTGCCATAAGACCAGAATCGCGTTGAAGATGTTGCTGGAAAGCTGCAGGGTTAACAGCTGACCCATCGGGGTTCAAGCGTAAGTCATTTCCAGCCGCGCTGAGGGAGCAGCAGAGAAGACAATTGTTGAAAACTAAATTTAACAAATTCACAAGACCTAAGTGTAGATACTGTGAAAAAGTTTTACTTATAAAACCCCAAAGAGAAAGAAGCAAGACGGCAATTAAACAACTTACCCAGATGAGGCACTGGAAATCATCATCAATAAATCCTCGTCCTTAACACCCAAGGCACTCAATTTCTCAGAATTTCGAGTTTCCTTACCATTAAACAACAGCTGTTGCTGCTGAAGCGGAACATTTGTCTGCTCATTGATGCAAAAACACAAAGTCACCACAAAATAGTACATAAGATGCTAGATAAACCCCCAAAACCCTAAACCCCCCACAGTAGATTTCAGTAGAATTCAACTCAAATTCAGCTCCAGCATACTTTGACTCGGCACCAAACTAAAGAATTCGAACAAAAATCTCGAGAAGAGTGATACGGAATCCCTTACCTCAACCTCGAGCAGCGCCTTAACATTTTCAACCTAAGCCAAGAAATCCCCAGAATCAGCACAAAGAGAAGACATGGAAACATCGACAAATCGGAGAGAATGGTGAAATCAGACAATCCTCATCGAACAACTCGAGAGGTACATTGTGATTACGAACCGAAGTCAGGAAAACTAGGGTTATGTCAGAAGAAATCTTACAGTCTCATGGGGATCAACATCTAATGAGATGATCTGTTCATCGACCGTCATTACAGCGATCCTCATCTTCTATTCGTCTTTCCGATCTCCTCAGTCGTCCTGCTATGGTCAGGAATCTCCGTTGCTTCCGAAGTAAGGCTTTCGCTCCTGTATATTTGTGTGAAACCCTCTTACCCACTCAGAGGGTCCTTCAGCAATGACGGAGGCAGAGGCAGAGGCAGAGGCGAGGGAAAAAGCTTACTTTATATGGTTCATCAAGATATATACCATACCATTTGCAAAGCAATTATCTTACGGATCCTATTTTTGGAATGTAAAGGGTCTTCTCCAGTATCTTTACATACATTGTGTCCCGTTGTATCTATCGATTCAACAAACCTTAGCTCCGGCGATCTTGAATCTGCAAAACCCATGGCGTCTTCACCTGGTAACACTAACCCTTACCCTCCTCCGTTCGATGTCAGTAATTTCATCAAACCCTCTCCAAACCCTTATCCTACGCCCCCGGCTTCTTATCCTCCACCCGCCGGACCTTTCCTTCACAACCAGTACCACCAGCAGCTCTATATGCCTCCCGGAATCTCCGGTCAACCATCTCCGGCGTCCTCCGCGGCGACTCAGACGCAACAAGAGCCGCCTCCGGCTTCCTCCT